CACAACACACATACACAACACACTCAACACTCAGCACACACACACACAACTCACATATACAACACACACGGCACACAGCATACATGCACACAACACACACCCAACACACAGCATACATGCACACAGCACACCCAACACACTTACACAACACATACACAACACACATACACAACACCCAACATACATGGCACAACACAACACAGAGGAGCCACTCGGGCGCGGGCAGGGCGCCCTCCCCCTGCTAGGTGGCCCTGAGCGTGGGGGTGGTGGCGCAGGTGGGGACCGGGGTCTGGGTGTCCCGGGCAGGTGACAGACGGGGTCTGAGCCGTGCCTCATTTGGAATGCGCCGAGAGGAAGCTGGCCCCAGCCTGGCAGGAAGCCGCAGGCAGCCCGGGACCCCAGCCGCCCACCCCCACCCCGGGGTCCCCCGCAGGCGCCAGCAAACAGTGAGATCAGCGCCCCCCCCCCCCCGCCCCGTGCCTCCCCGCGCCCAGTGGCCAGCAGCCTCCGCGCACACACGGTGGGCAGTCTGTGCACGGGGGCTCGGATGAGTGAGTTCCGTGGACGGGAGACACAGTCTGGGGGTCCTGAGGATTGGCAACGACCCCGGGGCTGCATCTGGGGAACGGAGCAGCCAGGTTGAACACACACCCCTCCCTCCCCCGCACCGAGGCTCGGCACAGAGAACTGGTGTTGGCATGCCGGGCCCTGCGGCAGGAGCAGAGGGCGCATCAGAGGGCCCCGCTCGCCCAATGGGTGCTCAGCCGAGATCAACATCAGGGACCCGGCTCTCTTTGTAGACGCCAGCCACAAATCTGGGGGCCCCAGGCCACCCCCCTTCTGACCAGCTAGGCGCCAACTCCGTGTCCCCCTGGGGAGCGCCTGGTGGGTCCTGGTGCCTCTGCCTCCCATCCAGCCTCCTGCTAACGAGCGCTCTGGGAGGCAGCGGGCGACGGCTCAGATGCTGGGGTCCCCGCTGCCCACGTGAGACCCCGATGGGGTTCCAGGCTCCTGGCTTCGGCTGTGTCCAACCCTAGCTGTCGCGGGCATTTGGGGGACAGAAAATCTCTATCCGCCTCTCTGCCTTTTAAATAAAATGAAAATAAATTGGGGCCAGCACGGTGGTGCAGCAAAGCCCACGCTCCGTATGGGAGTGCAGGTTCGAGTCCCGGCTGCACTGCGTCTGACCCAGCTCCCTGCCAGGGCACCTGGGCAGCGGCAGAAGATGGCCCACGTGGCTCCTGGCTTCAGCCTGGCCCAGTTCTGGCTGTTATGGGCACTTGGGGAAGGAGCCAGAGCATGAAAGATGGTTCTCTCTCTGTCACTCTGCCTTTCAAGTAAGTAAATCTTCACAAGTAACTAATTTTTAAAAGGGCCCTGTAGGCAGAGGCCTGGAAGGGACCTGATCCCAGAGCCCCTGGCAGTCACCTCTCCCAGCTGCCCCCCACAAACTCCCTGCATCTTTGGGGTGCAGATGCATTGCCCCTCTGCCAACCCAGTACTGGACCGAGCCAAGACCCCGAGCCTGGGACTCCATCGGGGTCTCCTATGTGGGGTGACGGGGACCCAAGCACTTAGCCATCTCCTGCTGCCTCCCAGGGTGCTCATCAGCTGGACTTGGGAGTGCAGCTGGGACTTGACCCAGGCTCCGATGTGGGCGCGGCGTCGTGGCGCCCTCCTGGCTGGCCTCAGGCTGTCTTCCCTCCTCTAGGGCGGCACCTGCCAGAGCTTCTGCAACGTGTGTGCTTGCTCGCCGAGCTGCCTCAGGTGTGTGTTCAGAGCAGAGATCCTCTGGCATTCGGCTGGGGAGTCTGGCTCAGAAACAATGGAGACGGGACCTTGGAATCCAAACTTGTAAAACCCCCCTGAGACTGGGAATTCTTCGGCGCCGGCGGGTTGGAGGCTTCTGCTGCGTGGGCGCAGAGCGCCCTCTGCTGGCCACGACACCGAGGCGGCAGGCCAGGCCCCGCCCCTTCCTTCTCAGCAGGTGTTGCTCTCGAAACAACAGGTGTTTGTATTCCGTCCTTGAGGCCAGACCGGAGCTGGTCAGGTGCAAGGGGAGTCAAGGAAAGTCAAGGTTGTCTCTGACCTCTCAGAGTTTGCAATCTAACTGAATTGACAAGACGCCTTCAGGAAATCCCAGAGATGGTTCAAAACCTGTTGCCTGGGCTCCTTCCGGAGAGTTTCTCTCTCCGACAGGTGCCGTGCAGGGAGCTCCGGGCAGGTAGGCACCGGCGTCTATGCAGCCCTGGCTGTCCAGACCTTGGTTAATGCCATCTGTGGCCCACAGACAGGCAGCACTGAGCTGTTCCTCCCTTCCGGCTTCTCCCTGGCTGCTTTGTGTGCAGGTCCCTGCTAGCGATGGTCTGCAGTGCGTTATCTTCCTCAAACACTCCTGTTGTACAGAGAACCAGAGTCCAGCCCTCTGCTCGGGGTGCAAGGAGCTGCCACAGCTGCACGCTCACCCAACACCTGCTGCATCAGCACCTTCGTGTGGGCGCAGGAGTCTGCGTGCCCAACCCAGGAGCTGCGCGGCACAAGGGGCCCGTGGGGGATTCCGCCCAGGAAGAGCCTGAGGACGGGAAGGGATTAACAAGTGCTTTCCAGATACAGGAGCAGCCAGCGCAGAGCCCAGGGCGCTGTGGGTGAGGCACAGGCAGGATCAGCATTTACTGGCTGGGGGGGGGGGGGGATGAAGATGAGGGTGAGGGGTTGCCCCCTGACCACAGACGGCCAGTGCTCGGTCTGGAGTTGCCTCCAAGGGGGACGGCTCAGTCAGCGTGGCCTGTCCTCAGTGCCCCTCTCACAGTGGCCACGCTTCCTGGTGACACCGGGAAGCCAACAGGGAGCAGAAGCCAGGCTCAGGGCCCCGGTGCCGCGGGAGCAGGCGGGCACTCCATCCCACCGCCATGTTCACGGCACAGCAGTCGCTCTTCTGTGTGTCACAGTTACAGCAAGTTCTCCTGTCAAGTAAATGGGGTGGGGTTAGGCCGCCCACTCCCCGCCTCTGAGCACCTGGGTTCGATTCCCGGCTCCGGCTCTGGACTCCAGCTTCCTGCTCGCGACGGCTCAAGCAGCCGGGTTGCAGCACACACAGGAGTGCTTGGCTTCAGCCGAGCCGGGCCTCAGCTGCTGTAGGTATTGGGGGAGCGAATTACGGTGTGCGTGGGAGCTGTCTTGGCTTGTCTGTGTTTCTCTTTTCAAATACACACACAGAATCTTTAAAAGTATTAAAACAAGTATAAAAATGCGTTGATAGAGAAAAAACGCGCTAAGTAAATAATGCTGCAAGCGGTAATGGATTCTCGCATTTGGGACGTATCATCTTTTAAAGAACATATATTTGAAAGGCGGAGTGACAGTGAGTGAGAGAGAGAGAGGTCTTCCATCTGCTGGTTCACTCCCCCATGGCGGCCATGGCCAGGGCTGGTCCAGGCCGAAGCCGGGAGCAGGGGCTCCGTCCTGGACCCCATGCGCGTGGCGGGCCCGGGGCCATCACCTGCTGCCTCCAGGGTGCGCGTCAGCAGGGGGCCGGAACGGAAGCAGAGGCGCCCGACGCAGCGTGCGGGCATCCCCCGCAGCTCTCAGCGCAGCGCTGGGCACCGGCCGGGGCCTGGTCACGCACCCCGACTGCCACGCGGTGCCCGCCCCAGGGGAGCGCTGCTTGCGGGAGGAGGCGGACGCCTCCAACTGGCGATGGCGAGACAGCGTCATGGTAGCCGGCACCCAGGAGGGCGTGGGCCAGGACAGCGGTCTCAGGGCTGGGGGCTCCGGAGTCGGAGCCCCCGCAGAGCCAGGGTGCAGGGAGGAGACCGTGGCTCCCCACGCGGTTGCGGTGGGCTGGAGGCGCAAAGACCGCAGGCCAGCTGGAACCACCGCCCTCCAGGGGTGATCCGGGAAGGCTTCCTGGGGCCCGGGCCGCGGCCGCCACGTCACGTCGCGTGACGTCACGGTAGGGGCCAGCCCTGCTCCGGGCGCACCTGCACTCCGCCGTCCCTGGTCGCTGGGCTCGCAGGCGGTGGACCGGGTCGGGTCCTCTGTCCCCAGCGCCCGTGTCCGGCGGAAGGAGTCTGTATTGCCTGCACTTCAGCCCTGCGAGTAGGCGAGAATGGTGACCGCGCTCAGCTCGGCTGATGAAACACCGGCTTGGTCCAGGCAGTGCGCTGGGCCCGTGGCCCCTGCCCCGCGCCAAGGCGGCCCAGCAGCTGGAGGGTTTGTTTTTTTGTAAGGAAACAGCGACATCTGCTGGAAACCGTGCAAACCGTAGCTCAGCTTGGCTCAGGCGTCCAGTGTTAGGTGGTGCGACTTTGCACGGTGAAACCGAGTTTATGCGCTTGTGCTAAGAACAAGGGTTTCGCGGAAATTGTCGTGGGCCAGGAAGTGGCGGTGGTAGCGTCCAATCTAATTCCAAGGCTCGAGTAACCGTGTTTTGGGCAGGGGGCGGGAGGGTTACAGGTGCCATGACACCAAAGGTGTCTTGAACCACATAGCTGGGGGCTCTGCTTCGTGCTCCTGGTGACAGTTGTCTGAGCAGCAGTGAGCTAAGGGTGAGTTAGAGGGCGAACGCAGGGCGGCCGTGCGGGATGCCGGCATTCTACGATGGGGCGCCCGGGCTCGAGGCCCAGCCCTGCTCGGATTCCAGCTCCCTCTGATGTGCACTCTGGGAGGCAGCGGTGATGGCGCAAGAGCTGGGTCGCTGCCACACGTGCGGGAGACCCAGGTGGCGCTCCTGGCTCCTGGCTTCGGCCTGGCCCAGCCCTGGCTGTTGTGGGCATGTGAGGGGTGAACCAGCGGATGGAATTGCTCTGTCTCTGTCTCTCTGCCTTTCAAATATAGAGAAGAGAGACCGCAGTCAGTCAACATGGCACAGCAAGCAAATCGTAGGACAGAAATGTCAGCCAGGGCCGGCGCTGTAGCACAGGAGGTAACGCCCTGGCCTGAAGTGCTGGCATCCCATATGGGCGCTGGTTCTAGCCCTGATTGCTCCTCTTCCCATCCAGCTCTCTGCTGTGGCCTGGGATAGCAGTAGAAGATGGCCCAAGTGCTCGGGCCCCTGCACCCACGTGGGAGACCCAGAAGAAGCTCCTGGCTCCTGGCTTCGGATCAGCACAGCTACAGCTGTTGCAGCCATCTGGGGAGTGAACCAGCAGATGGAAGACCTCTCTCCTCTCTGTCTCTACATCTCTCTGTTACTCTTTCAAATAAATAAAAATAAACCTTAAAAAAAAAAGAAAAATCAGCCACCTGTGTCATTTCAAGTTTTCCAGAAGCACTATTAGAGAAGTTAAAAAAAAAGTGAAGTTATTTTGTAACTTTTAAAATTAAACACAATATAATTAACATATTAAATATAATTAGTAACAATTAAGTGCAAAAAGTCTTCAAAAAGTTCATGGAAATGTGCATTATTTTAAATTACATTTCCTATGAAATTTTTGATGTACCCTCCGATAATAGGGGAATATTTTAATATGATTATTATATAATCAAATATAATTATGGTTACTATTATGCTTTAGTTAAAATATGATTAATTATAATTCATTTTACAATTGATTTTTTTTTATTTGAGAGGCAGAGATGGAGAGACAGGGAGCTCCCAAAGTGTCTGCAACAGCCGGGCCTGGGCTGGGCTGAAGCCCGGAGTTCAGTCGGGATCTCTCACGTGGGTGGGGGCCCCGCCTGTCTGGCCGTCACCGCTGCCCGCCAGGAATCGAGAATCAGGAGGCAGGGCTGGCACTGTGCCCAGGACTCTGCTGTCTTAGCTGCTAGGCTAAACGCCTACTCCTACATTTTTATGTTGTAAGCTTCACCCATTATGTCCAAAACATCATTTAGGCAAGCGGCAGTGGCCCCATCCTGGGTGCTTGGAAGCCACACGTGGTTGGAGGGTGCTGGTGAGTGATGAACCACCTCTTCAGTCTACCTGGGGGTGGGGGGGTCGCCGTTAACCCACTGCACGGCGCTTGCCCATGCTTAGCGGCTGAGCGCCCTCTGAGAGTGGCCGAGGGGACCAGTGAGGCCTGGCGTCCAGGCTGGGAGAGAGGGGCAGGGTGAGACGGCCCCAGGGCTTGGCTCAGGGTGGGGTGGTGGGGGCGGGAGCCTGTTTTTAAAAGTTTGTTATTTTGGTCATCACAGGTTTTTTTTTTTTTTTTTTTTTAAAGATTTTATTTTATTTATTTGAGAGGTAGAGTTACAGAGAAAGGGAGAGACAGAGAGAGAGAGGTCTTCCATCTGCTGGTTCACTCCTCAGATGGCTGCAACGGCCGGAACTGTGCCAATCCGAAGCCATCTTCTGGGTCTCCCACATGGGTGCAGGGGCCCAAGGACTTGGGCCATCTTCTACCGCTTTCCCAGGCCACAGCAGAGAGCTGGATTGGAAGTGGAGCAGCCAGGACTTGAATTGGTGCTCATATGGGATGCTGGCAATTCAGGCCACAGTGCTGGCCCCAACAGATTTTTTTTTAACATTCACTTAAAATATATTTTAAATTGATTCCCATGACATCAGATTCCCTGTTTTGAAAAGGTACAACGCAGTGGGCTCCAGTGGTGTCCTGGGACAGCCCCGCACCGCACAGCGGGCGCACCCTGCTCCTCTTCCGGGCAGCCCCTGGCATCTGCGCAGGCGCCCGTCTCTACAGATTCTGCACGTTTTGTGTCTCACTCCTGGCTCTTGAAGGTCATGCCCTTCGGGGCACAAATCAGACTTCGTTCCTTTGGGGAATCCTCACGCTGCTTGCACTGTGGCTGTTGCGAGCAATGCTGCTGGGAACATCTGGGTGATATGTCTCCCATTCTTTGTGTTTGCATTCTTTTTTTTTTTTTTTTTTTTACAGGCAGAGTTAGAGAGAGAGAGAGAGAAAGGTCTTCCTTCCGTTGGTTCACTCCCCAAATGGCTTCTATGGCCAGTGTGCTGCGCCGATCAGAAGCCAGGAGCCAGGTGCTTCCTCCTGGTCTCCCATGTGGGTGCAGGGCCCAAGGATCTGGGCCATCCTCCACTGCCTTTCTGGGCCACAGCAGAGAGCTGGCCTGGAAGAGGAGCAACCGGGACAGAATCCGGCGCCCCAACTGGGACTAGAACCCGGGGTGCCGGTGCTGCAGGCAGAGGATTAGCCTAGTGAGCCGCGGCACCAGCCAATGCGGAATATTTTTTTTAAAATGAATGCAAATGGTTTGTGTCATGGCTCATTAGGCTAATCCTCCACCTAGTGGCGCCAGCACACCGGATTCTAGTCCCAGTCGGGGCGCCGGATTCTGTCCCAATTGCTCCTTTTCCAGTCCAGCTCTCTGCTGTGGCCCGGGAAGGCAGTGGAGGATGGCCCAAGTGCTTGGGCCCTGCACCCACATGGGAGACCAGGAGAAGCACCTGGCTCCTGGCTTTGGATCAGTGCAGCGCCGGCCGTAGCGGCCATTTGAGGGGTGAACCAATGGAAGGAAGACCTTTCTCTCTGTCTCTCTCTCTCACTGTCTAGCTCTGCCTGTCAAAAAAAAAAAATACACACACACATATGTATATGTATATTCCACATAGGAGCCAGCACTGTGACGTAGCAGGTAAAGCCACTGCCTGCAGCCCAGGCATCCTATATGGATGCTGGTTTGTGTTCCGGCTGCTCCACTTCCCACTCAGCTCCGTGCTGATGCACCTGGGCGAGCAATGGAAACAAGTGCTTCAGTCCCTGCACCCACGTGGGAAACCAGGACGAAGCTCCTGGCTTTGGCCTGGCCCCACCCTGGCTGTTGTGGCCATCTTCGGAGAGAACCAGTGGAAACTCTGTTTTTCAAATAAATAAATCTTAAATAGATAGCACAAAAATGCTACTTATCTTGATGGCTGAGGTTTTTGGCACCCTCTTAAAGTTTGCTCCTGGGGGCCGGAGGCCTGCTCACCCCAATCTGTCCCGCTCAGCATGGCCCGGCCCTCACTGCCAGTGGCTTCTCCTCCCCTATAAGGCGGACAGAAGCCCTGAGCTGTTTGCAGGGACAGGACTCAGGGAGACCTGGCACTGTTCGCGGGGCACTGCTGTGGGGAGGCCTGGGGTGCAGGGGGAGGGTCCCCAAGTGGCCGTGACCGAGCTCTGCCCTTGAGAGCCCGCCCAGCTGCCCAGAGCTCCCTGGCGCCTGCCCTCTCCTGCTTCCGCTGCTCTCCTGCCTGCGCCTGACCCCCTGCGAGGTCCCGGGGGGGTGGGCCCAGCCCGCTCAGCCTGCGGCTCCCCTGGCTCCCAGCTGCCCCCAGCCCCCCGCCTCCGCTCTCCCCACCCTCCCCTCTGCCCACTCCCATCCAGGGTTGCGGCTTCTGGTTCTCCGGCTGCCGCGAGGCCTGCACTTTGCAGGGCTGAAGTCCAAAGTTCAGTGCCTTCGCTAAGCACACGGATAAATATGAACCTTGGAGAATTTCCCCAGCTCCAATGTAAACAGCAGGCAGGGGCCCTGATTCACTGGCCGCTGGGGCCAGGATTGGGGGTTGGGGGTGCCCACAGGGCCTGGCTAGTGGGGTTTGGGGGGGCTGTGGGTGCCAGGAGCCTGGCCTGTGTCTGCTGCCCGGCGGGCAAGTAGAGGACCCGCGCGGTGGGGGAGGCGGCCGGCTCGGTGGCCCCGGGCCGCGTGGCCCCGTGGCTGGTGGAGCCATGGTTTCTAAGCTGAGCCAGCTGCAGACGGAGCTCCTGGCGGCCTTGCTTGAGTCCGGCCTGAGCAAAGAGGCGCTGATCCAGGCCTTGGGAGAGCCGGGGCCCTACCTGCTGGCCAGCGATGGCCCCCTGGACAAGGGGGAGCCCTGCGGCGGTGGCCGGGCTGAGCTGGCAGAGCTGCCCAACGGGCTGGCGGAGCCGCGGGGCTCCGAGGACGAGACGGATGACGACGGGGAGGACTTCACGCCGCCCATCCTCAAGGAGCTGGAGAACCTGAGCCCAGAGGAGGCAGCCCACCAGAAGGCCGTGGTGGAGACCCTGCTGCAGTAAGGACCCCCCCCCCCACCAGCTAGACGTCGGGAAAGGGGCGGCCCCCTGGGAGCTAAGGGGGGCCCTCGCTCGGTGCGGAGCTGGGCCTGTGGCCGCGTCCTAGCAGCTCTGAGTCGGGGCCACAACTCCAACGCCTGCAGCGCCCATGGCCTCCATGCTGCCCAAGCCCTACCTTCCGGGCCAAGTCCTCCGCCTGCAGCCCGGGAAGTCCCACTGGGGAGGAGGGGCTGGGCATGGGGCTTGGGGGGCTTCCCGGCCGTCCGGGGACTCCCGCACTGGGCAGGGGAAAGCCCAGGTGTTGCTCACCTAGAGTGACTGCAGCCTCAGGTGGGGGCTGCTCCCCTGGCTGCACGGCCCCAGGCCCCAAGCTGGCCCACGGGCGCCATGAGAGGCCGCCGGGCTCTGGGCTCCCCTGGCCGGCTCCCCACCTCGCGGAGAACTGGGTGGGTCCAGCGCGATGCCTCCCCTCTCCTCAGCAGAGCTGACCTGGTTACTAATTACCCATGCGCTTTATTATTTCTCTTTTGTTTTATAAATTTATAAACGGCAAAAGGCCCTGATAAGGCCTGTGATCATTAACTTGGAGGGACGGTGGCCTGGAGCGGCCGGGGCTGGCCAGCCTCCCACCTAGCAATGGGGGTGCAGGGTGGGGACCGGGTTGGGGGGCTGCTGGGACCACCCCTCCCTGAAGGTTCTGCTGTGGCCACGGGCCCCCTGGAGACCCCCTGGGTCTCTCACGGGGGTCATTTCTCCCAGTGTTGAGCTGAACCTGGGGAAACAGCTGACGGCTCTGCTCCCTGGACGGAGATACTGAGGCACAGAGGCAGGATAGAGCTTGACCGAGCTCACCCAGCTGGGTCCAAACCCACTCTACCTGGGGCTAGATAGAGTGACACGGGACGGGACGCTAGGGGACGCGGGGATGGGGTGGGGGCAGGGGAGAGGCCGTTGCCTGCGAGCCCCAAAGGAGGCCTTGTCTTTTCTGTCCAAGGTCCTGATCCCTGTGGGTGGGTGGGGGGGAGGGCAGGTGGATCCCTGTCTTCCCAGAGGCCCCAGGGAGCCTCCCGAGGGCCTGGGCAGGGGGCAGGGGGCAGGGGCAGACAGGGGAGCAGTCAGGGCTCAGACTTGGCAGGAAGATGAGGGCAAAGAGCTCCTGCACTGCAGGGGAGGGGCACGAAGCCAGCATGGCCAGAGCCAGGGCGAGGGCGCCCTCACCGGCTCTGGGCCCCACATGGGGCTAGGGGCTTCGGGGCAAGGGGGTGGGGGCGGAGGGTGCCAAGGGCCTTTCTTACCTGGCTGGCTGGGGCCTCGGGCTCAGCAGCCCCCCTGGTGGGATGGTTGGGGGGGAGACTTGATCCACAGCGCTGGAGGGGGGAGCAGAGGTCAAAGTGCTCCCTGGGGACCAGCAGAGCCTGGAGGCCGAGGGAGAGAGGGGAGACAGGGAAGAAGAGAGAGGAGTGATGGAGAGAGAGGCTGGAGCTGCCCGGGAGGGGAGAGGGGCTCAGGCCCAGCGGGCAGAAGGCACCCCAGCTCGGGGAGGCCGCCCGCTCCCCTCCCAAGCCGCCTGGGTTTTCTTGAATGCTAACAGCATGCTGTTTACTTTCCATTTAAATTTGAGATGTTGCTATAAATTATCAACCAGATCCTGTTCCCGCAGGGTTTATAACTAACTACCTGGGTTACTTATTGTTCAGGTAACAAAAGGGATCTGAGAACGCCCCACGGGATAAAAGGGGGGCCTCTGGCGTCAGGTGGGGGCCGAGAGGCCTGGGGACCCCTGGAAGGCCTGGGCTTGGGGGGAGGTTGAGGCTCGAGATGGTGCAGAGGCAGGACTTCCCATGTGAGACCCGGATGAGACCGGGAAGGGTCAGGGCGGGGTCCCGGGTCCTGGGTCTCCCTGGGGTGCCCCAGGTTTGAGCTTTCTCCCTCAGACCTCGCCCCTTGGTTCCCCATATGACCCTGGGCAACTCTCTTTCCCCTCCTTCTGCCCCAGTCTCCCTACATGGACCGTGGATCAAACCCAGCACCCTGCTCTGGCTCTGTCCCCCCAGCGACTTCCCGGACCCCCCCTGGCCTGCTCCCTTTCTAGCTCTGCCCCAGCTACACTGATCCCCACCTCAAGGCCTTTGCCATGCTGGTCCTCCTGCTTCAAGCCCCATTTCTCCCCAGTCCTCTGTCCACCCCACCCCCAGCCACTCTCTCTCCTACTTTCTTCTGTCCCTTATCATTGCTTTGTGTTTATCTGTTTGTTTTCTGCCTGGGTCCATGAGGACAGCAGCTCTTCAAGGGCAAGGCCTGGGACGCCTTTTCCACCACTCAGACCCCTAATACCTGGCCCAGGCGTGGACACCCAGAATGAATGAATGAGTGAACCAATGGGTGGCTACAATTCAGCTTTGCTGTGGACATTTGCTCCCAGCTGGCCAACGCCCAGCAGATGGAGGCGTGGCCCACAGAGCAGCCGGAAACCCAGGGCTCCTCCCCAGGGGTCCTCCCCGGCCCCGAGCATCTCAGACCTCAGCCATGGAGCCCTCGGATCCCCCTCGGCGGGTGGCACTGAGAACCAAGGCAGGACGGAGGAGCCGCCTGCCTGGGCTCGAGATGCAGCTCTGCCCCCTTTCTGGCCCAGGCAGGGGGTTCCCCCCACAAGATGGAGATAACGGTAAATCCCACGGGCTCAGGCAGGACGCTCACAGCCTTGTACTCCTGACTTCCAGAGGAGCGAATGAGGGCTCCAAGAGCCAACGTGACCGACTCAAGGTCACTTCCCAAGCAGCGAGTCTAGGACTTGGGCCCGAGTCTCCTACCCCACACTGTGCACGGCTCCCCTCGAGGGCTGCATGGAGCTCCCAGCTCCTGGCTTTGGCCTGGCCCAGCCCTGGCTGTTGCAGCCATTTAGGGAGTGAACTTGCGGATGGAAGACTCTCTCTCTCTCTCTCTCTCTCTCTCTCTCTCTCTCTCTCTCTCTCTCCCCCCCTCTCTGTACTCTGTAGCCCTGCCTTTCTGTGGTCATGCAACTGGCCCTCCCCTCCCACTTGCTCTTGCCGTTCACCCTGCCCGTGAGCGCCCCTCCACGCAGGAGGGCTTACAGCCAGCACCGGCTGTCCCGGAAGTGTGACGCATCCGCAGCGGCATTGCACAGGGAGGAGGCTGAGTCACGTGGTGAAGGTTGGGCAACTTCCCGAGGCCATATGGGTGCCGGGTGGCAGAGCCGGATTCGAACTCAGGTCTAAACTCTCACGCTGAGAATTTGGCTCTCCCTCCCAGTGAGCGGCCCTTCAGCCTGGGTCTCTCCCAGCTCCACGACCTTGGATGACCTGAAACCAAGGGTGCCACAGAGCAGAAGGCCCAAAGCTGCGGCCAGGGGGGAGGCAAGAGGAGGGCGATGCAGGCAGGGCTTCACCCCTCCTGGGCTTTGCTCCCCTGGACTAGGGGGCCAGGGAGGATGATCATGATGATGCCTCAGCATTGTCCCACTTCCTGAGCCCCCTCTGCTCGCCAGGCCCTGTCTGAAGGGCTTCATCCCTGTGCGAAACGCACCCAGCTCTCCCAGCAGCTGCAGGAGTGAGGCGCGGATTTGCCCTGTGTCGCAGGGCAGGCATGGGCTGTGCGAGTGCACAGGAGCTGGGGCGTAGTCAGCAGGGGAATGCCTGGAGACCTGGCCATGGTTCTGAGCTGGGGCAGCTGTGCTGACAAAGGAGCTGTGTTCTTGGAGATTGGGGCAGGGGTGGAGGAAGGGAGAGGGAGAGAGGGAGGGAGAGAGAGAGGGGGGCACAAAGAGTGAGGATGGACATGAACAGGGCAGCAGCAGGCAGTGGACCTTCCGCCGCGGGAGGCAGGGCAGAGGGTGGTGGCTGGGGTGGGGGAGGGAGGCCATGGGGCCGCCCGCCCTGCAATCAGATAAACATGTTTGCCAGACACGGTGGCAGGCTGCACTTTGGACCGCCCTTCCCTCCTGGCTCTCTCGGCGTGGGGGGAGGGGAGCGGTGGGGAAGAGAGGACCCCAGGAGCCTCTGAAATCAGTGAGAAGCAGAGCCAGGGAGAGGACTGTTGGCGGGGGGTGGGGGGGCGTACTATGAGATATTCTTCCCAGGGGTGTCACCCTGGGCAAGTGACGTCAGCTTCCGGAGTCTCGGTTTTCTCACCTGTGGAGTGGGCATGGGAGCGGCACCTGCTTCCTGGAGTCGCTGGAAGCCTGAGGCAGCCAGCCCCTAGCACAGCGCCGGGCTCAGAGAGAATCTGCAGGGAACACGCTTCCCCCCGGCTTCCCTCTGTCCACAAGCGGGACGTCATGTGCCCGCTGCTGACCTCCTGAGAGGCCCCTGTCCCCTCCCTCTTCCCGTCTTTGCCTTTCTGGAAGGGGCTGATAAAACAGCAGACAGAGGGGCAGAGCTGAGGCACGCAGAGCTCTGTGCCCTGGCACCTGGCACCTGGCACAGCCCGGCCAGGGCCGGTCCTTGAGGACAGGGTGGTGGTCAGCCTCCCAGTGCTGGAGGCTTGTCGTCGTGGGGCGGCCGTATCACTGTTCCCTAAAGAGCATGCGCCTCCTAGAGGTGACTTAAAGTCCTCGGATGACACTTGAAGGTTACACACAAATACTAAGCCGGGCTCTCCGAGGGATGAGGGCATCCGCGGAGCTTGGTGTCTGCAAGGGGTCCTGGCCCCGCTCCCCCGTGGACGCCGAAGGAAGACTGTGTGTGGAGATGGCGTAGCGTGTACCATCAGTGCGTCACGTGCTTTGATGCATGCGACCCCTCACCCGGCCCCCGCACACCTTCCCTGCTGGAGGCCATCGGGAGCAGCTCAGCCTGGGGCGTGGAGCCCAGGGCTCACGCACACAGTACTGGCTCACGGAGGCCCCTGCGTGCCCGTAACCCCTTCCCCTGGGACCCTGCTGAAGAAGCAGCAGGTGCCCTGCTCTCTGGGAAGTCAGCCGGCCGCTGCCGAGGGCAGGGCGCAGGTTTTCAGGAGGTACCGCGGCTCTGCGATCTCTGCCTGATGGGCTGGCGACTTAAACCAAACCCCTTCTGGTGGGAGGGCACGCAGTGGGGCTGGCCCCATCCACAGGCAAGTGGGGTGAGCTCTCTGAGCCGCAGTGGTGCTGGCTATAAAATGGGAGAGCCTGCATTCTCCTCCTTGTTTTCAGGTTCAGTGTTTTTCTTTCTCTGGTAGATCTCCCTCATCCATCCATCCACCCACCCATCCATCATCCACACACCCATCTGCCATCCACACATCCACACATCCTCCCATCCACCCATCCACCCACCCACCCATCTGCCATCCAATCTCCACCCATCTACCATCCATCCATCCATCCATTTCTCACCCATCCGCCTGTCCCTCTGCCCACCCATCCCACACCCACCCACTCGTCCCTGTGTGCCCTAATGGCCTACTCTTTGTCAGGCCCACTTCGGGTGCTGAGTGAGAACCAGACATTTCCCACCTAACATGTCCACTCCCAGACCCTCAGTGAATAGCACGGCCACCAGTAACACTGTCAGGTAGGATGAGGGGAAGCACTTTAAAGGCCCAATTGGGGAGGACCCTCCCCAAGGGGCCTGTGCAGTCAGGAGTCCACTCACATTGACGTTGGTGTCCACATGTCTCCAAGTCTCGGTCCCCACGTCCCTGTGTCTTGGCATGAGTGACAACACCTCCCTACCTCCAGGGCTGGGTGCAGGCTGCACAGCTGCTGTCATCCACGGTCCCCACCTCCACGACTGGCAAGTGCTCACGGGCCCCCTGGAGACCCCCCCCCCCCCCGCTGAGCCGAGCTGTCCTCGCCTTCCTCCCAGGGAGGACCCGTGGCGCGTGGCCAAGATGGTCAAGTCGTACCTGCAGCAGCACAACATCCCGCAGCGCGAGGTGGTCGACACCACCGGCCTCAACCAGTCGCACCTGTCCCAGCACCTCAACAAAGGCACCCCCATGAAGACGCAGAAGCGTGCTGCCCTGTACACTTGGTACGTCCGCAAGCAGCGAGAGGTGGCCCAGCGTAAGTAACCACTCCAGGACGCGCCCCACTCCGAAGAGGGGGCTGGGAGCCTCTCACCCCCGGGAGATCTCTTGCACCCATCTGCTCATCCATCTTCACAGACAGGGAGAGAGAGAGAGAGAGAGAGAGAGAGAGGCGGGGAGGGGAGGAGAGAGACAGAGAGAAGTCCCTTCTACTGGCTCCCTCGCCAAATGCCCGCAACAGCCAGCATGGAGCCAGGCCACAGCCAGGAGCCAGGAGCTCAATCCAGGTTTCCATGGGGACAGCAGGGACTCACTCAGCTCCCTGAGCCGTCACCTGCTGCCTCCTAGTGTGTGCGTCAGTAGGAAGCTGGAGCAAAGAGAGGAGCTGGGACCGGAGCCCAGGCACTGTAGCATGGGGTGTGGGGGTCCCCAGGGGCGTCTTCACGGCTGCACCAAACATGGACCCCATCAGATACATCTTCTCACTGATCTTACTCTTTCAAGGGGCTTCTGGCCCTTGGTGGAGGCACCATTACTGGTTTAACTGGCCACCGACCCACAGACTTCTAGGGTTTTCCCAATCTGTAATTACAACCGTCTGCTGCAGCGAACAATCGTATTTGCCTAAGTTTGTGCTCACTGAGTGTGTCTGCAGCAATCACTCCCGGGGTGGGACGCTGGGCTGGAGGGCAGGAGCTTTAGCATCTCTGCTGCGGGTCAGGCACCGCGGCACAGCAGGCTAAGTCGCTGCCTGGGACACCCACTCTCCACATCAGAGAGGCGGGATGAAGTCCCACTGCTGCTCCTGACCCAGCTTTCTGCTGATGTGCCTGGGAGGCAGCAGGTGTTGGCCCAAGTGCTTGCTCCCTGCCACCCATGTGGGAGACTCAGATGGAGTCCCTGGCTCCTGCCTTTGGCTTGGTCCAAATGCCCTGGCTGTTGTGGGCATTTGGAGAGTGAACCAGTGGATGGAAAATCTCTCTCTTTCTGTCTCTCCCTGCCTTTGTCACTCTGTCTTTCAAATAAATAAATAAATAATACATAAAACATTTGGCAGACACTGCCATAGTTTGTTTTAAACTAGTGGCCTCCATTTGCCTGCCCACCAGAAAAAATCACTGTTGGAAAAAAACGCACCCCACACAACCTCGGATCCTTGCCCATGCCTACCCTGGCTCTAAGCGCTGGGGCATTCGCTTCTGCTGCCCTTCAGTGCACACTGGGAAAGCAAGTGCAAAGCAATGCATGTTTTGTACTTTGAACATTTTCTGTGAGAATAATAAAAACTTCCTTGGAGAGGTGGGTGTTTGGCCTGGGGGTTCAGAAGCCAGTGTCCCCTATCAGACTGCCTGGGCTCGGTCCCCGCTCCAGCTCCCGACTCCAGCTTCCTACTGAGCAGACCCTGGGAGGCAGTGGGGATGGCTCAACTAGCCGGGTCCCTGCCGGCCACAAGGGAGCGCGGGATTGAGTTCCAGGCTTTCAGCGTAGGCCTGGCCCAGTCCCGGCTGTTGTGGCACCGGGGAGTGAACCGGTGGATCCGAGCTCTGTCTGTCTCTCAAACTAAAAACAACTAAATGATTTTTTGAAAATCTGTTAGAACTAGGCTTAGCTTCTAGGCTTAGCACAAGGTGAAGCCGCCGCTGTAGCCGCGGACATGACCACCACAGAGCAGCACCAGCTCCCGCAAGCCTCCCCTTCCCGGGAGAGGGACCCCAACCCTGACTTCCGTCATCAGAGCCCTACTGTGGCTCTTTCTGAGTTGCACATAAAATCAAGCCAGCAGTGGCTGCTGCTTCTCCGTATCATGGGCGCAAACTCATCTTCTGCCCCTGTGTCCCAGGCCGGCCCACTCCGCTACGTGAATCCAATGGACTAATTCCGTCTTTGGCAGGCCTCGGGGTTTCTCCCCACGCTTTGCTGATGTGAACAGTGTCCCTGTGAATGTTCTAGTATGTGGCTCTCTCTGAGTGCATATCCACTTCTGCTGGGCTTGGAATGACTGGGTGAGCTCCACCCTCACAGGTGCCGCTGCACAGCCGTCGGCACCCCAGCCACAGTGTCTGAGCCCCAGGAGCTCCAGGCAGCGCTGCCAGCACCTGGTAGTGTCCGTAGTTTCCATTCTAGCTGTGGAGATGGTGGCATGGTACTGTGGCTTTAGAAAAATCTGTATTAGTTTACCTTTGAGAGAGACACGCACAGAGACGTCGCTCTCACTCGCTGGTTCACTCCCGAATGCCTACAGTAGCCAAGCCTGGGCCGGACCAGAGCTGGGAGCTGGGAGCTGGAGCCAGGGCTTCCACGGGTGGCAGGAGCCTGGAAGCTTGATCATCATCCCTGCTTCCCAGGGTGTGCGCTCACGGGAGGCTGGGCCTGGGAGCCAGAGCTGGGTGCTGAACCCATGCACTCTGAATGGGACCCTGGGGTCTGAACTGCCCACTTAGCTCTCATGTCCTCCACGAGTCCCCATGTGGGGCGTCCCATTTGGCTCTCAGGTCATCTGCCTTTTAATGGTGGGTCTGTAGGAGTTTTAAAAAGATACCATGCCCACGAGTCCCTTTGCAAGTAGATCCACAGCAAGTGTATCTCCCCACGCTGTTCTCCAGACTGCTTTTTGATGAACAGAAGTTCTTACTGTTTTTTTTTTTTTTAAGATTTATTTATTTATTTAAAAGTCAGAATTACACAGAGAGAGGAGAGGCAGAGAGAGAGTGAGAGAGAAGTCCTCCATCTGATGGTTGACTCCTCAGATGGCCATAACGGCCCGAGCTGCGCTGATCCGAGGCCAGGAGCCAGGAGCTTCTTCCGGGTCTCCCATGCGGGTGCAGGGGCCCAAGGACTTGGGCCATCCTCCATTGCTTTCCCAGGCCATAGCAGAGAGCTGGATCGGAAGTGGAGTAGCCAGGTCTTGAACCGGAGCCCATATGGGATGCTGGCGCTTCAGGCCAGGGCATTAACCCGCTGCGCCACAGTGCTGGCCCCATTCTTACTGGTTTTTTTTTTTTTTTTTTTTTTTTTATGGTTGGTACTTTTTTTGTGTTGTAAGAATTTTATCTAAGATCATGAAGGTAGACTCCTGTTCCTATGTATGAATTATAAAAGTTTATTTGAAAGGCAGAGAAGGCGAGGGAGAGGGAAGAGAGGCAGAGGGCGACAGGCATCGCCCATCCACTGGGTCACTCTCTCAATGTCCCCAGCGGGGAGCCAGGAACTCAACGTGGGTCTCCACGTGGGTGGCAGGGACCCAATTGCTTGAGCCATCATCACCTGCTGCTCCCAGGAAGCTGGGATCAGAAGCGGAGCTGGGGCTCCAACCAGCCAAAGTGCTCCCTCACCCCTGCGCCCAGCGCCCGCCCCTCCTGTGCTTTCTCCCGCCGGCTTTACCCCGAGAGCCGCAGGCCAGCCGGGTCTGAGGACTTGCCTCTAGACGGAGAGTCAGCGTCCCGTCTCTTTCTCACAAGCAGCTCGGGCCTCTGCCCCTCTGTTTACAGCCTGAGTCGCCACTGCCCAGGGCCCGCTCTGTCCTCCTCCGCCACTGGCCACGCAGTGCCAGTAACTGGAAGGAGACCCAGGAAGCGGCGGGGGCCAGGGGCTGCCGTGGGCTCAGGAGGGTCCCCAGGAGGACTGGGGCTGCTTCCTGCGGAAGCGGGAGTGACACTTGCAGGCCGGGCCCCGACGGAGTGGATGTTATCAGGGGCAGCAGATGCAGCCGGGCATCGCATGGCACTCACGCAAGGACCTGGGCCGGCCGCTGCGGCTCGAGTGCTGGCCCTGCCTGGGACGCAGCTTTCTCGAGCTGCTGTTCCCCCTTCCAGGCGGCGGAGATAAATGGCTGTGGTGGTGCCGCGGGCGCTGTCCCATGGATGTGCTGTGGCAGTGTCCTGGGGACATGAGAGCGAGGCTAGGGCGGCTGTGCGGGGTCTCCCCGCTCAGGGCCCCCCAAACCTCTCCCACCCGCCCCCGGCACATCCAGAATGGTGCAGGCCCCCTGCTTTGTATGTTTGGTGACTTACTAAACCTTTCGTTGTAGAACTCGTTTAGATTTCTGGACAATCCAGAAACTTCTCTGCAGCCCTCGCCCGGGTTCCCCTGTTATAAACATGAGCACGCTGCGCTTGTCACCAAGGATCACAGGGACAGCGCGGGCGACGGCCACGCTTCGTTCAGACACCCTCACCCTCCCCGGAGGCCCCTTCCCGGCCCCGGGGCCCCAGCCGCTGTGCAGCCGGCAGTCATCTTAGCCCCTCAGCCTTCCTGGTGACGATGCTTTCTCAGGCTGTCCGGGGTTTTGATGGCCTGGGTGTGGCCTTTTTTTGAGGTTTGGGGGCCACATTCTGGTGCCTTGTGCTCTGGATCTTGGTCCAGGCCCCTGCCAGCCCCCTGGGGCCACACCATGGTTGTAGATAGAAGGCAAATGGCCCATGGGGGTGGTCCCAGGGAGGGGTGGCGAAGCTGTGGCTGTGAGATTGTGGGCATCCGGGCCAGGGCAGCAGCGGGCAAGGCCTGGCTGTCAGCAGCTCCCTGCGCCTCCCTGGGTCCCTCCTGCGACTCTGGCTTCCTGCATGTGGATGGCGGGAGCCGGCCCCCTCCCCGCTCTGGCCCATTCCTTGGTGGCCTGCTCAGGGCTAATCTGATCAAAAGTGGAGACAGCCGAAGAGGGCTCTTCCTTCCTGGCTGACACTCATGTTTTCAGCCAGATTTCCAAGTCTGAGAGTTGCTGATAGCCCTGAATCGACTTTAGGATGTGACAGGGTTCAAGGTTCTGCCCTGCTGTGTGACTCTGGGAGACAGGGGATATCCCTCCCTGAGCCTCAGCTTCCCTGGAGCCTTGTATCCAGAAGGGCTGTGCGATGGTTTCCTGGCTTGGGAGACAACGTGCAGGTGTTGATTGGTGATGTCTGCCTCAGACATGGGTGAAGCAGGTGGTGGCACAAGCATTGGTCATCACTGGATGAGATGGTTTCCAAGTTGTAGCTCTGAGCTCCTCTCCGTCAACACCTGGGAAGGAGAGGAAGGCAGGGGCGTGGCCAGGGGCACTGCTGTGGGGAGGTGGGCGTGGCCAGTGCCCCCTGACAGCTCCCTGTGCCTCCAGAGTTCACCCACGCGGGGCAGGGCGGGCTGGCTGAGGAGCCCACAGGCGATGAGCTGCCCACCAAGAAGGGGAGGAGGAACCGCTTCAAGTGGGGCCCAGCGTCCCAGCAGATCCTGTTCCAGGCCTACGAGAGGCAGAAGAACCCTAGCAAGGAGGAGCGGGAGACGCTGGTGGAGGAGTGCAACAGGTAGGAGGACAGCCTGGTGGGCAGTGGGGCCGGCTTGGCTGGGCTGGGGCAAGGCTGGGGAAGGGGAAGGTGACCGGGCCCTGTAAGAGCACCTGCTGTGGGTTTAGCCCAGCCCAGGGAGGTGAGAGGACTCCTGCTCAGTGTCTTGAACTTAACTCCATTCCCAGCACCCCTTGGGTGGCTGCTTGTTGGCTGTTCTGCCTCACTTTATGAATGGACAGAGCTCAGAGAGGCTAAGTCACTTGCCCGAGGTCACACAGCAGAACTGGTCTTGGAACCGAGATCTGCCAGCCTCACGCGCGCAGGTACAGCGCCCCCTCTCGGGACCTTCTCATCCCCCGGAGAGGGTGCCGCTGAGCTGGCCTGTTTCTGCAGGGCGGAGTGCATCCAGAGGGGGGTGTCCCCCTCGCAAGCACAGGGGCTGGGCTCCAACCTCGTCACAGAGGTGCGCGTCTACAACTGGTTTGCCAACCGGCGCAAAGAAGAAGCCTTCCGGCACAAGCTGGCCATGGACACCTACAGCGGGCCTCCGCCGGGGCCCGGCCCAGGACCCGCACTCCCTGCCCACAGCTCGCCCAGCCTGCCCCCTGCTGCGCTCTCCCCCAGCAAGGTCCACGGTGAGTGCTGTGTGGGCAGCTGCACTGGGGAGTCGGGGAGGGCTGCCCCCGCGGCAGCAGCCACGCACACCTCTGAGCTCTTCAGCTTGGTTCCGTGCACACCATGCTACCCTACTAACCACACCCCACTGCGTGCACCCCACTCCAGTCTCCACACACATCTCCACACACACTGCATCCACTCCACACACACTCATCCACTACACACACACTCATCCACTCCACACACACTGCATCCACTCCACACACACTCATCCACTCCACACACACACACAACCACTCCACACACACACACATCCACTACACACACACACACATCCACTACACACACACTCATCCACTCCACACACACTGCATCCACTCCACACACACTCATCCACTCCACACACACACACATCCACTACACACACACTGCATCCACTCCACACACACACAACCACTCCACACACACACACATCCACTACACACACACTGCATCCACTCCACACACACACACAACCACTCCACACACACACACATCCACTACACACACACTGCATCCACTCCACACACACACACAACCACTCCACACACACACACATCCACTCCACACACACACACATCCACTACACACACACTCATCCACTCCACACACACACATCCACTCCACACACACACTGATCCACTACACACACACACTGCATCCACTTCACACACACACATCCACTCCACACACACACACACACACATCCACTCCACACACACACTACATCCACTACACACACACACTACATCCATTCCACACACACTGCATCCACTCCACACACACTCATCCACTCCACACACACTCATCCACTCCACACACACACACATCCATTCCACACACACTCATCCACTCCACACACACTGATCCACTCCACACACATACATCCACTCCACACACACATCCACTCCACACACACACTGCATCCACTCCACACACACTCATCCACTACACACACACTGCATCCACTCCACACACACACACTGTATCCACTCCACGCACACACACTCATCCACTCCACGCACACACACTACATCCACTCCACACACACACATCCACTCCACACACACTGCATCCACTCCACACACACACTCATCCACTCCACACACACACACTCATCCACTCCACACACACACTGCATCCACTCCACACACACACACTGTATCCACTCCACACACACACACTGTATCCACTCCACACACACTCATCCACTCCACACACACACATCCATTCCACACACACACACATCCACTCCACACACACACTGCATCCACTCCACACACACACATCCATTCCACACACACACTCATCCACTCCACACACACTCATCCACTCCACACACACACATCCACTCCACACACACACTCATCCACTCCACACACACACACTCATCCACTCCACACACACACTGCATCCACTCCACACACACACATCCACTCCACACACACACTCATCCACTCCACACACACACATCCACTCCACACACACTGCCTCCACTCCACACACACACATCCACTCCACACACACTCATCCACTCCACACACACTGCATCCACTCCACACACACACACTGCATCCACTCTACACACACACATCCACTCCACACACACTCATCCACTCCACACACACACTCATCCACTCCACACACACACACTGCATCCACTCCACACACACACATCCACTCCACACACACACACTGCATAAACTCCACACACACACACTCATCCACTCCACACACACACTGCATCCACTCCACACACACATCCACTCCACACACACTCCATCCACTCCACACACACATCCACTACATACACACACATCCAATCCACACACACACTGCATCCACTCCACACACACACATCCACTCCACACACACACATCCACTCCACACACACATCCACTCCACACACACTCATCCACTCCACACACACACACTGCATAAACTCCACACACACACACTCATCCACTCCACACACACACTGCATCCACTCCACACACACATCCACTCCACACACACTCCATCCACTCCACACACACATCCACTACATACACACACATCCAATCCACACACACACTCATCCACTCTACACACACACATCCACTCCACACACACACATCCACTCCACACACACATCCACTCCACACACACTCATCCACTCCACACACACACACTGCATCCACTCCACACACACTCATCCACTCCACACACACACATCCACTCCACACACACACACTGCATCCACTACACACACACACACATCCACTACACAAACACACACACACTGCATCCACTCCACACACACACATCCATTCCACACACACACACTGCATCCACTCACACACACACTGCATCCACTCCACACACACACATCCACTCCACACACACACACACATCCACTCCACACACACATGCATCCACTCCACACACACTGCATCCACTCCACACACACACTGATCCACTCCACACACACACTGTATCCCCCATCCTCACCACCTCCATTCCCTCCACTCTACTCCGTGCCCTCACCACTTCTCCTCATCTACTCCATTCACTCCACGCCTCTTTACCACTTTACTCTTCTCATTCACTCCACTATACTCCATTCATTTTTAAAAAGATTTATTTATTTATTTGAAAGTCAGAGTTACAGAAAGGGAGGGAGGAGAGGAAGTGAGGGAGAGAGAGGTCCTCCTTCCTCTGGTTTACTCCCTAAATGGCTACAGCGGCCGGAGCTGCGCCGATCTGAAGCCAGGAACCAGGGGCTTCTTCTGGGTCTCCCACATGGGTGCAGGGGCCCAAGGACTTGGGCCATCTTCTACTGCTTTCCCAGCCCATAGCAGAGAGCTGGATCGGAAGTGGAGCAGCTGGGACTCGAACCGGTGTCCATATGGGATGCCGGCACTGCAGGCAGCAGCTTTACCACAGCACCAGCCCCTCCCTTCATTCAATTCTAAACCAATCCACTCCACTCCACCAACCTCCCTCTTTCCCACTCCATCCTACACCCCTCACCTCCACTCCACCCACTGCCGCCGACTCTGCTCCAGTGCACCTCACCCGAGTCCACTCAACTCCATGCGTCCTAATCCACTCCGTCCACGTGGTCCACACCGCCACTCTTCACACTGCTCTGTGCTCAGTCACTCCCCTCTGCTCTGCTTACCCCTCTCCATGCGCAGCTCTGCCCCACCCGCCCCACCCAGCCCACTGCACACCGCTCCCAGCATCTCGCCCATGGGCTCCACACCTCCCATTGAATTCACTTCAGTTTAGTTCTTTCATCTTGGATCACACGAATGCACTTATGTTCAACTCATTACAACTCCATTTGGCTCATTTAAATGTGGTACAGTTGAATCAAACCAATACCCATTCTACCCATTCAGCTTGACGAAATGTAATTCAATGAAATTCAGTTAATTTTGCATAGCTCAGTTCAATTTAATCTAATTCAATTTAATCCAGTTCAGCTCAATCAAGCACAATTCATTTCAACTAGAGTCCATTTAATTCAAAGGATTCCAGTCCATTCAATTCAACTCCGTTCACTCATTTGTCTCATCAGCTTCAATTCAGTCCCCTCCCCTTTCCCTTCATTGAGCAACTGCCGCACAGTAGGGACAGCACTGGGGAGTCAGGGGCATGGAGCCTTTGCCTTCGAGGAGCTGCTGGCAGCCAGCGTGGAGCTAGGCACAGCCGGGCGTCCAGGCAAATGGTCTAAGGAACCCGTGGGGCTCACAATGATGTGGGTGTGGAGGTGAGGACAGGGAGGGAGGTGAGGGTGTGGAGGGGGTGAGACAGGGAGGGAGGTGAGGGTGTAGAGGTGAGGATAGGGAGGGGGGTGTGAGGGTGTGGGGGGGTGAGACAGGGAGGGAGGTGAGGGTGTGGAGGTGAGACAGGGAGGGAGGTGTGAGGGTGTGGAGGTGAGACAGGGAGGGAGGTGTGAGGGTGTGGAGGAGATGAGGACAGGGAGGGAGGTGAGGGTGTGGAGGTGAGACAGGGAGGGAGGTAAGGATGTGGAGGAGGTGAGACAGGGAGGGAGGTGTGAGGGTGTGGAGGAGATGAGGACAGGGAGGGAGGTGAGGGTGTGGAGGGGGTGAGACAGGGAGGGAGGTGAGGGTGTGGAGGAGATGAGGACAGGGAGGGAGGTGAGGACAGGGAGGGAGGTGAGGATGTGGAGGAGGTGAGACAAGGAGGGAGGTGTGAGGGTGTGGAGAGGGTGACAGGGATGTAAGTGCTGAGGTTGGATCCTGCTCCCTGCCTAGGTGTGCGCTATGGACAGCCGGCAACCAGTGAGGCGACAGAGGTGCCCTCCAGTAGTGGAGGGCCCTTGGTGACGGTGTCTACACCCCTGCACCCAGTGTCCCCCACGGGCCTCGAGCCCAGCCACAGCCTGCTGAGCACTGAAGCCAAGCTGGTGAGCAGCCCCATCTGCCCTGGTGGGGGTCCCTGGAGCAGCCCCACCGAGCCAGGGTGGGGCTCCACCTGACCTGGCTTGGCTCCCACTTGTAGGTCTCAGCAACCGGGGGCTCCCTGCCCCCTGTCAGCACCCTGACAGCACTGCACAGCCTGGAGCAGACATCCCCAGGCCTCAACCAGCAGCCCCAGAACCTCATCATGGCCTCCCTGCCCGGGGTCATGACCATAGGGCCTGGGGAGCCTGCCTCCCTGGGCCCCACATTCACCAACACGGGCGCCTCCACACTGGTCATCGGTAAGCGGCTGGGGAGCGGGGAGGGGAAGTCAAAATGCAGGAGCTGGAGGAGCCACTGGGTCTCATTGACGCTGGGCAGCATTTGCGCAGTCTCCGTCTGCAGACAACGGCGCTGCTAAGTGAACGGCTTTCTGTGCACTGCGTAAGGGAATGGTGGCAATGAAGCCTGCTCACGCTCTGCGCAGATGCAGTGATCATTCCTGGGTACAGTTGGCTGGAACTGCAGGTGCAGAACCCACGGCCACAGGGGGACGACTGCATAGGGTGCCCGAGGCAGTGGGAAGTCTACGGGAAGACAGCAGGGCAAGGACACCCATGCTTTCCTGCTTTTTTCTGAAAAGCCCAGAAATAGTATGCAAACGTGTACTGTTGCCCAATAATAAAGACAGACAGGGAGCTGCTGAGGGAGACGAGCAGAGCTTGGTCCAGGGCCCTTGCACTGCTGCGGGACCCCAGGGCACCCAATCTGAGCACCTTTGTAGAAGTCACTGTCCGGGTAGGAGCTAAAGGCTCGGCGCAAGGGAGCAACCTGCCAGCTCCACTTGACTGCACGGCTCTGGGGGGGTGGGCGTGGGCTGGGTCTGCGGAGGTCCGGCTGACCCCCGCCTCTCCTGCTCCAGGCCTGGCCTCCACTCAGGCGCAGAGCGTGCCGGTCATCAACAGCATGGGCAGCAGCCTGACCACGCTGCAGCCCGTCCAGTTCTCCCAGCCGCTGCACCCGTCCTACCAGCAGCCACTCATGCCACCCGTGCAGAGCCACGTGGCCCAGAGCCCCTTCATGGCCACCATGGCCCAGCTGCAGAGCCCCCATGGTGAGCGCCCATGCCTCGCGTGGCGGGAGGGGGCTTGGCAGGTGATGTGGTTTGTGTATCTGTGGCCACACTGCATTCCATGTGTGGATACATGTACCGTGTGGGGTGTGTGTGTGTGTGCGCGCGCGAGGTGCTGCTGCCCCCGCCTCTCTGTCAGAGGCCAGGGCTTAGTCGGACAGCACCCGCGCGAAGTCCAGTGCTGAGTGAGCGCACGCTGGGCACACCAGCGCCTGCGGGAGCTCCTGAGCTTGGTGCGGGAGCAGTGCACCTGTGCCTTCCACCGTCTGCCGGTGACAAGAGCTGCAGTTGGTTCTCAGCCTGCCTCAGGCTCCAGTCCCAGCTGAGCAGGTCGCAGTAGTGGGGGACGGGGCCCATCCTCGTTACTGGAGACCCCCGGTTGGGAAATCCCAGCCCTGGATCCCCAGCCACAGCCCTGTCGGGCCACTTCAGCAGGCCCCATGCTCCCCTTCCCCCCGAGCACCCTCTGGGGAGGGGTCCAGGCTGGCCCAGGGTGCCATGTCTGTGTCCCTCCTGGGCAGCCCTCTACAGCCACAAGCCCGAGGTGGCTCAGTACACGCACACAGGCCTGCTGCCCCAGACCATGCTCATCACCGACACCACCAACCTGAGCGCCCTGGCCAGCCTCACGCCCACCAAGCAGGTAAGGCCCAGGCCTGCCCGGCCCTGCTGTGGCCCTGGCCCAAAGTCCCCTCCACGCCTGGGGCTCAGGAAGCTGCTCTGGTCTCCCAGGTCTTCGCCTCCGACACCGAGGCCTCCAGTGAGTCCGGGCTGCACGCGCCGGCGTCCCCGGCCACCACCATCCACATCCCCAGCCAGGACCCTGCTGGCATCCAGCACCTGCAGCCCGCCCACCGGCTCAGCACCAGCCCCACAGGTGAGCGGCCCTAGCCCTGCCTGCCTCCTTGCTGTCCCCGGTCCGGGGGTGAGCAGCAGGTGCCTCTCAGGCAGGGCCTGGGTGCACATAAAATGCGCGGGCAGCCACAGGAGAATGGGGCCTGTCTCAGGGGAGCAGCTCATTGACTCGAGCGAGGAAAAAGACTAACAATGCGAAGAGGCAGAGGCAGGTAAGCAGCGGGCAGCCTGGGCTTGTGCTGGGCCTGCAGGGCTCACCGACGTTCGGTTTGGCTCGGCCCCGCGTTCAGCACTCTCGGAATGAGCTGAAGGGCTCCCACTCCTCCGAAGCCAGGGAGTGTGGGCTGCCAGCCACACCTGCCCCTCGACCCGCTCGCGCACGCCCTGCCGGCTCCTGAGTTTGCACGCGACAGGCGGGGGTGAAGAGCAGGCGCTGCCAGCCTCGGAGGCCTGGGGTGGCCATCGCAAGCTGACCGCAGGGTCCCCCACCCGGCCCTGGTGGCCACCCCCCCATCCCAGCTTCATGCTTTACCCCGGGGGGCATGTACATCATTAGTCCCATTTCACAGAGGAGGTGAGAGACCCGCCACCCGTCCCACAGCTACTGGGTGGCAGAGCCAGGCCTTGAACCCGGGTCCAACCTCGAAGTGCATTCTCCTAACCCCCATCAGTCACAGAGAGCTCGTGGGCTGTGTCCGCAGAGACGAACCGGAAGGCGCTGGCCCCTGCCTGTGAGGACCGGCCGGTTTGCAGCGCCGGGGGCAGGCTGGCTGGGGGCTGGCAGCTCCGGCGCAATTCCTTCTCTGGGAAACTCGTTCTGGCTCTTAAGGCCTCCCTCCACCTGCTTGGGCGAGGCCCACCCCCATCGGGGTAAGCTCTTCACTGGAGCGTTTGATGTCTGGTTCTGCCTGACTCCACCTTCCTGCCAGTGTGGACACTAGGAGGCAGCGGTGACGGCTCAAACACTTGGGTCCCTACCACCCACAAGGGAGGCCCGGACTGAGTTCCCAGCTTTGGCCCAGCTCAGTCCTGGCCACTGTGGGTATTTGGGGGCAGTGACCCAGTAGATGGACACTCTCTACTTCTGTCTCCCAAAAATCTAGTTAAGAGAAACCGTGAACTGATGGCAGGTGCTCACATCTACAAAACACCTTCTGAGCAGTGCCAGGGTTCGTGTTCGGTTCGGTCTGGCCAAGCTTCAGTAGGGCAACCACCCCATCCCACCCTGGGCTACTCCATGTCCCGAGGCGGCCCAGGCCCTGGCCCTGCGGCTCCTGGCATCTGCCGGCTCAAGACCGCCACGCCTCCCGCCCAGGCCTGGTGGAGCCCACAGCCTCCCTTCCGTCTGCAGTGTCCTCCAGCAGCCTGGTGCTGTACCAGAGTTCCGACTCCGCCAACGGCCACAGCCACCTGCTGCCCTCCAGCCACGGTGTCATTGAGACCTTCATCTCCACGCAGATGGCCTCTTCCTCCCAGTAACCATGGCAACCACCTCCCAGTGGCTGGGCCCAGCGCCCTGCACGGCCTGGGGGACCGCTGGGCTGGCCACCTGTCTGCTGACCCTGCTCTGCAGGCCTCCGGCAGGAGGGCCAGAGGCAGCCGCACTGCGGGGAGCTGGGGAGCGGAGCTCACCCCACAGGACGTGCAGCCGCTGCCGCTGCCGCTGCGCAAACTACTGTGCTGCCTGGAGCACACGGAGATGGCCTCTGGCTCCGGCAGCCCCAGCCTGGACCCGGGACCACCACACTTCTCAGGGCACCCATGCACGCAGCTGGGACTTGCTGAGCTCTGACGGCCACGTCCTGTCACCTGTGCACCGGCCAGGCCACTCCGTCCTACCCCAGCCCCACCCAGCTCTCATCGCACGCGCTCACACAGCATTCCCGAGCTCTCCCGGCCTCCAGCCCCCAGGACCTGCGGCTCTCCTACACGTCCCCCCCCCCCCCCCAGGCATCCTGCCTACGGGTGCCCACCTGGCCTGTGGCCTGCAGGGGGAAGACCACTTCAGGGCCAGGAAGTTGTCCTTGCCAAGTGCATGTCCTGGGGCAGCAGGGCCTGGGCAGCTGAGAGCTGAGGGGCCCAGAGCAGAGGTGGAGCCACGTGCACACGGGACGGACGCTCAGGGCACGTGAGCTGGGCCGGCTGACGGCTGGACCACAGATTCACGGCCAATGTGCAGCTGCAGGGGGGCCGAGCAGGTGCATGGAACCACGGCACACAGGATCTCACTTCTGTGGGCCTGCTGCCACGAGCCTGGTCCTCCATGCCCCGCCTCCTTCCTGGTCCCGGGAGGGGGCCTGGGAGAACCAGCAACCCCCCTCCCCACACGCACAACTTGTAACAACTAAGGGAGAGCCCGGACATTTATTTAACTTTTAGTAAAACCAATGAGAATTTCTTGCTTGGCCGTAAGTCACTCAGCGGGGGCTGGGCAGGCGGAGGGGGTCAGGGCACCCTCAGATCCCGCCGGCTTTTCCGAGCCACTGAAGGAGGGGGAGGGGGCGAGGCCAGAATCCCCCCTGCGCCTCTGCTCCTTCCTGAAGAGCCCTCTGTGGCATGAAGCCGGGCCCCAGGGGGCTTCCGCGCTCCAGAGTCCGGGCCTGGGGCAAAGGACCCTATCCTGGGGGCACAGGCAGGCAGCCCGTGTCGCTGAAGTCTACGAAGACCAAGCGAGACGTCTCATGGAGCTTTGTGCAGACGGGGAGATGGCGCCCAGGCCGCCCTCAGTTCCGGTCCCTCACAGGGTATTCTGCGTGGCTGGCTCAGCGACGTCACCCTGCGGTGACTAGGGGGCAGGAGCACGCCTGCCTTCCCAGGCGGGTTCCAGCTCGGCCACGTGGCACTGGCGACAAGGGCAGCAGCCTGTCCCCTGGTGTCCTGGGGACCCTCCCCTCCAAGACTGAGTGGGAGGGGGAGGAGGCGCTTCTTTCGCTCCCCCACCCCAGACAGCACTGGGAGAGATTTACCATCTGCCACCACCCTCGGCTAACCAGGGCCGTGGAATGTTCTGGCACAGTCTGCCAGGACCCTCAGTGGGAGACGCGAGGGGCAGGCTTTGCTTGGGCTTCCCACACTACAGCCACTTCTTTGCCCCAACTCCTGGGCAAGCTCCCCTCACGATCAAGGTCTCATGGGCGAGTCCAGCCTTCCCAGCCAAGTCCTTGACCTTGGAGAGGCAGGCGGGGCCTGGAAACGCCTTGTCCCGAAGGTGCCCCATGAGCGTCTGTCCTGGGAGCTCGTGGGCCCTGTGCCCGCACACCGGGTCAGTCTGTAGGCGTGGCCGCTGTGCCCGCTGCTGGGGGGGAGGAGGGAGCCTCGAGGGCTTTCCTCGCCTTTTTCTTCCTTTTCTTCCTCTTGGTCCCAGGGGACACCCGGGCCCCGTTGACCCTGCCCACCTCCTCTTCCTGCTCCTGGGCCACGGTCTCCGTGGCAATGCTGGCCACCTTCCTGGCTTTCTTATTTAGCTTTTTCTTCTTCTTCTTGGCCTCGTCCTCGCCCTGGGCGGGGCCGTGGATGGCCGACTCCTGCAGGATGTCAGAGGCAGACACGGCTGCCTCCCGGCACCGCCGCTGCTCGTCACTGTCTTCGCCGCTGCAAGGGGAGGGCGGCGGGCGTCAGCAGGGTGGGAGGCGCCCAGGGCCATGAGCGAACAGGCCTGGAAGCCGGGCGGAGCCGGGGGCCAGGCAGCTTCTCCGCTTTTCCCGGCCACGAGTCCTCGCTGTGACTCACCTTCTCGGACCCCCGGGCTCGACATCTACAAAGGGAGGACCTTCCCAGAGCTCAGCCTCCAGGGCTCCTCAGGGGGCAAAGCCAAGAAGCGAGGCGCCCGGCCCAGGCCGGATGGTCATGGAGCACCAGGTGCCCAGAGCCAGCCCCTCACTGGACGTCTCCGTCCACCCGCTGAACTACCTGGGGCCCTGGAGCGCTCACCTGGAGCTGGAGGGCTGCCGCTTCCGGCGCGGCCGGGGGCTGGCTTCCTGCCCGGGGTCTCGGGGGATGGACGTGAAGAAGAGGCGGAAGCCTGGGATCCAAACGGGGCAGAGTCAGCACCATGGATGCCAAGCGCCCGCCCCCACCCCAGCGCCGAGTCCGCCCTGTTGCTGTGTCACTGAGCCGCTCGGCAGGCAGTCTCACGGGGCGGGGGGGTGGGGTGTGGGGTGCCTGGCGGGGGCAGGTGCAGGTGTGGGGAGGCTCCAGGGGGCTGGTGCAGGAGCCTCCTGGTGGGCGGCTGAGGGGTGCGGGACAAGCAGCCCAGGGTCAGAGCCGGGACTGCCTAAGGCAAGTGAGAGACTTCTTAGTGCCGCACTGTGTGGCCTGCAACTGGGCTTAGAACGGTGACCTCTGTGCCCCAATGGGGACAGAGCAGGCGGGAGGGGGTGACTGCAGCAAACCGTGCTGCCCAGCTCCACACAGCAGCGGCCAAAGAAACGACAAGCTGTCATGTTTATCGTTGTTCCAGAAAAAAAAATGTTCTTATTCATCTGAGAGGCTGAGAGACACAGAGAGAAAGCCCACCGCTGTTCCCTCCCCAGCGCCCGCGATGGCCAGGGCTGGAGCTGGGAGCTGGGAGCTGACTCCACGTCGCCCACATGCACGGCCAGGCCCCTCCGCTGCCTCCCGGGGCCTGCACAGGCAGGAAGCTGCAGTCAGGAGCCGGTGGTGTGGGACGCGGAGGTCCGGACGGCACCGGGCGGCTGTCACGGGCTCACGGGCCAGCACTCACCGTCATCCCGCGAGGCCTCCTGCGGCAGCCCGGGTTTCCCCGGCTCCTTCCCAGCTTCCCAGATGGTGATGGCACTAGAAGGGGACAGGTGACTCAGCACGAGCGGCCGCGGGTGACGCTGGCCGACTCAGGGCTTCAAAGTGGGCCAGAGGCACACCTGGTAGCTTGCGGTCCTCGCCAGCAGTGGGGCGGGCGCCGCTAACACACGCCGAGGCCGGGGCACTGCCGGCGTCCTGTGATGTGAGGCCAGACCCCCCCCCCAGCCGGTGGCACACGTGAAAATAACACCAGGAAGCGTGTGCGTTTCAGACCGAAAAGTAAGTAAGTAAAGAAGCACGTTGCCCTGGCTCCTGACTGTGAGTGAAGAGCAGGGACATCTCGGGAGGGCCCCGCTGGCTGCGTCACCACGGGGCGGAGAGGCGTGGAGGCACAGCGGGACCCCGGAGGCTGGGCCCCCGAGGACCCGCTTGGGCCCTTCCCACCGCCTTCCCCCAGGCCCCAGCTCTGCAAGACCCCCCCCGCCCCGCCCCAAACCGCTGCGTGGCGGCCCCGGCTGCCGGCGCGGGGACCTCCGGGCCACACTCGACCCACATCCGCAGCCCAGCGCCATGCGCACGCGCTGGTTACCTGTCCAGCAGGGCTCCCAGCTTCTTGGCTACGTGGGCTCGGAACTCGGGGGTGGTCTGCAGCTCATTGCCATCTTGTTCGTGCTCATCTGCCCTGTGCCTGCAACACACACACACACACACACACACACACACACACACACGAGGGCCTCACTTCCGGCCGGCGCGGAACCTGCCCCCGCAGCAGGGGGACTACGGTGTCCTGTCCACTCCCACGGCCCCGCTCCACCCCAGCACCGGCATGCGCGCGGGGGTTTGGTATTCACTGAGCAAACAGGTGAAGCGGGAACCCAGGCGCACAGTACCTGAGGCTCGGCTGGGAGGCCGGCGGGATGTCTGCAGCGTCTGCGGGAAAACGAACATGGAGTAGCCTTCAGAGCCAGCGGGCCTGGGGGTAACCGGGTAACCGGCACTGCGGCAGCCACCTCCGTGGGCCCGGACGCGGCACCGCCCCCACTGTCACCCGGGAAATCAGGGTAAGGTCTCCAGCCCCCGGCGCCGCGCGGCCGCCTGCCCCGGGTCTGTGAGCTCCAAGGCGCACTTCTGTTCATCTGCGTATCCCCAGCTCCCGCCACAGTGTCTTATTAGAAACAAATGGTGCACAAATGAATGCAAGTGTACCAGGGCACTTCACAAAGTCTGTGGAAAATGCGATTAAATATAAGGGTATTGTGGTACAAAGAATACTTGAAATCTACACATAGAAGGAGTCCTCAAAGGGTTCATGGAAATTCTATATATTTTCTTAAAGATTTATTTTGTTTATTTAAAAGGCAGAGTTACAGGGAGACAAGAGATCTTCTGTTCACTGGGTCACTCTGGCCACAGTGGCCAGACTGAAGCCAGGAGCCAGGAGCTTCCTTCGGCTCCTAATCCGGCTTTGCCAGGGCCCCTCCAGCAGCCCAGGTCCCTTCTCTGAATGTTTTAAATTTGGAGGGTGGGGGTGCCAAGTTCAGACCTTAAACTCGAAACCCAGTGCCAAGTCCTCATGGTAATGTCTGGTGCTGGCAGGGCCCCACAGCCCCTGGCCCCTGCCCTGGACTGCAGACTGAGTCTCTGGACCCTCCTTAGCCCGGGGCCAAAGGACCACCTCTGCCAGCCCTGCCTTGCCGTCCGGTACACGGTGCAGCCAGACTGCAGCCGCTGCGCGCGGCGTGGGAAGGGTCAGGCCGGGCCCGCGGTGGTGAGCTCAGCACCAGGTACAGGCCACACGCTTCTACTCCCAGGCAGCGCCCTCAAATAGAGCCCCTGCCAGGTGATTCTCGTTTTACGGGCACTGAGAAGGGACAGAGCTCGCAGACCAGCGCCCTCTAGTGCCCACACCGCAACAACACACCAACAGAAGGCTTGCAACAGAGCTTGACTTAGAGCGCCACCCAGTGTTGAAATGGTGTAAGTGTCCACAGGCGCAGACAAAATAAGTTATTTAGACGCAAAGCTCGTACAAAGACCAGAAACAAATCCCTAATGCTTCATTGCTGACGACGTCATACACTAAAAAGTATCAAGAAGTTTCATGGAACTATAACTTCATCTAATAAACAAAATAAGACGACAGAAACTGAGCAGGCAGGGGCTGGCAGTGGGTTAAGCCCCCAACTGTGACATCGGCATTCCATGTGAGCACTGGTTTGAGTTCTGGCCACTCCACTTCCAACCCAGCTCCCTGCTAATGCTCTTGAGAAAGCGGCAAAGATGGCCCAAGTGCATGGGCCCATGTCATCCACGTGGGAGACCCAGATGGAGTTCTCGGCTCCCGGCTTTGGCCTGGCCCAGCCCCAGCTGTTGAGGTCATTTGGGGAATGAAACAGTGAATAGAAGATCTCTCTTTCCCTCTGTCTTTCAAACCAATAAATAAATCTTAAAAAAAAAAAAAAAGGTCGGTATCTGACGTAAGCAAGTGGCTGGGCGCAGAATTCACACGGCTGTTTTGAGGAAATGCAGTGAGGCTCAGCGAACTCTAGCAGAGCGAGGGAGCCCTGTGAGCGCGGACTGACAGATGCACCAGGGAAGGAAATAAAGGATGGAGAGCAACTGAAGAGGACCGCTG